GCCGCCCGGCCCCCCCCTCCCTGTCGCCTGCCCGTCGGCCGCCCATCGGCCGCCCACGCCCGGGGAAGGCTCTGCCCGCCAGCAGCCACGCGCGCCCTGAACCCTCGCTGCCACGAGACCCTCGCTGCCGTGCCGGTGGGCAGCCCCTTCTCTGCCTGCTCCGGGCAGCTCGGGACCAGGACCATGGTGACAAGGACCGAGCGGTGGGCTGGGGCAGGCAGGGACGAGGTCGCTCCTCGCCGTGTTGTCCGGCACTGCGCTCTCCTGCCTGCCCGGAGCCGCCTGCGGCTTCGCTCCCAGCCCGCAGCTTCGTGCGCTGGAAACCACCTTCTCGAGGCGCCTCGGACCGGGGGGGCTGCGGGGAGCGGGGGGGGCGCTCCCTGCAATCCCGACCCAGCGCAAGACGGAAAAGGAAACCCCGGGGCTGAAAGGGAGATGTCACCTTGTCCGCAGCCAAGTTTGGGGCCCGAAGCCTCCTGAGGCCGTGGCAGCGGGAAGAGCTGAGGGGAGATGCTGCGGGCCCTGGGGTGGAGGGACTGCTGTGCGTGGCAAGGGACATCCCGTGCCCCCGCTTCTCCGGTCACAGTAAGGAAGGGGAAGATGAAGATTATTCCCGTCTGGTGAGAACGAAATCCCAGGAGGTTAAGGGACACGGCCCAGGAGACAAAGCAGCAAGTGGCAGAGGTCCCGACAGCGGGGTGCCGGAGCACCTCCCCAGCTCCAGCCACGCGGGAGGCCGCCGGCTCCCGCTGCCCCGGCACCTCCCTGGCACCTCTCCCACGCCGGTCCCCGGCAGCAGATGCCAAGCAGCGCGCCGATGGCTTTTAAGGCTGGAGGTTTTGTTTCCAGGCGGTGAATTATTCATCCCCAGGCTGACACCCCGGCTCCTCCGCCCAGGGCAGCAGCTGGGGTTGCAGAGGCAATTACGGTAATGGAAGGAGGCGAAGCCGGACTGACCTGGCTCCCCACACGGCGCGGCGCGGCCGGCGTCGCGTTCAGCACACGGCGATGGCGGCACGGCAGGACAGGGCAGGACGGCCGCCCCGCGTGGGCGAGGGAACATGAATTGCCGCTGCTTTTATAGTGTTTCGTGCCTGAGAGCTGGCAGTGGGGAGCGGGTCCCCCCCAGCCCCGTCCCAGAAGCGACCGCGGGGCGCTGGGCACGGGCCCAGCTCGGGGAGCAGAGGCTGGATGCGCACCCGGAGCAGGACGCGGATCTGTGGTTTAACCCCTTTCTGAGCACGCGCACGTGCAGTGCCCAGCCTGAAGCAAGCCTGTTCCATGCTGCGTGGAAAAGCGCTTCCCTCCCTTTGCTACGGAGCTGCGACCCGGCCTGTCCCCCGCCTCTTTCCAGAAATCCCGCTCCCAGGAAAGGGCGTCCCCCCCCGCACCCTCCCAGCCACGCCGCCTCCTCCGGACCCCGCAAAGGGCTCCCGGGAGGGTGCGCTCCATGGCCGCGCCAAGGCCCACGACCCCAGCCCTCCTGGAAGATGGGGGGCTTTTGTTATTCCAACTGTTCCCGCTTTCTTCCAAGGCGCTGAAGGAGCCTCCTCCTCGCTCCCACCTCGCCCGCCAGTCTCCGGGACCTGGCCCTGGTGAGGGCCGCTCTCACCGGTGAGGACCAAGACGAAGACGACATCCAGTCCCGTTTCCGTGTCCTTTGTGGCCGGGTCCCTACCTTTTCCCTGGTCCGTACGCACCGTTCCTGGCACTGTGCACGTCCCTCGGATCAGCGCCGGGGGGCGACCCTTCCCCGCGCCCCCCCCGCAGGCCACGGCCGTGGTGGCCGTGCCAGCCCCCGAGCCAGCCCGGGCGTGACAAGCCCAGGGACACGCGCCTCCAAAACCCAAGTCTTACTTAAATAGCAAAGGAAACCGTGGGAATACTATAAACATTTTATTTATTGTTTTCAAAAAGACAGGAAAATAATCTAGATCATTTATTTATAATTTTTTTTTTTTTTAATAAAAACCTCTACATCATCCTCATGCATGA